ACTGCAATTCTCTGCCATGGTCTATCTATGGCTACGATTATCAAAGGGGCTGGAGGAGCAGTAAGTTCTATGCACTGTGAAGGCTGAATATGCCTTCGCATGATGCTCAATGTCTGAGTGCAGCCCTAGCCACCAAGCATAACTACACAGAATCACCTTCGTCTTCATAACTCCCAAATGTCCTTCATGAGTCACATCCAGGACTGCATGTCGAATGAGGCTGGGATGATCATCCGTGCTCCTCTGCATAAGATATGTTGAGTAGCACATGTTTTCACTGTGAGCTCAGAACAAAATTTTGTAGAATATAGACAAAATTCTCTTAAGAACTGGGTCTATCCAACCCGTTTGTACAGCATGTATCACCTTGCACAGTTCAGCATCTTGAAGAGCAGCAGTCTGCCTTAAGTCAACTGGCAAGCTGTTCAGCAAAAAGCATAACACGTACCTTGCCATTTCTGCACACGAGGGTGCCAACCCATCAGAATTTCTTGAAAGAGTATCAGTAAGTAAATTAGATCTTTGTACCAAATGAAAACCAGTCATATTGCTGCAACCGATAACCCACTGCTGCAGCCTCATGTTCAGCATATCAACAGCCTTATGACAGAGGCCCAAAATAGGCAAATCAGTTTCTAAAGTAAAATGTTTTCCCAGTAAATAGACTTTGAAGCGTACAATAGCAAAAACCATCACCAAGAACTCTAGCTCAATCTGGGAATACTTTGCTTCTGTCACGGTGAGAGTACGGGATTAGTATATAACTGGCCATCCCACCTAGAACAGAACTGTGCCCAGACCCTGATTGCATACATCAATTTGAATCACTATGGGCTTCCTTGGATCAAAATAAGAAAGAGATCTGTTTTGTCTCTTTAGTCCAAACTAACCGTCCCTTGATTAGATCTCTCAGCAGCTTGGCAAGGGTACTAAAATTGGGCAGAACACGGCCACCTACTTCTTTTACTAGGCCAAGGAATGAACGTAAACCGCTACAATCTGTATGTTTCGGTAGCGAAGCTACAGCTTGTAGCCATTCAGATGTCAGTTTCACACCATCAGCTGACAGAGAATGCCACAGAAACTTTACAGCATCTTTCACAAAACTGCAGCTGGCCACATTCAACTTTATGCCAGCTTGTTGGAGTCGGGTTAGCACCTGGTCCAGATAAGCATTATGCTCAGGAAGGGTCTTATCAAAGACAAGAATGTCTTCCAAATAGCACCAGGCACGCTGGATATTACCAAAGAGCTGAGAGACCACTCTCAAATACTTCAAGGAGCAGAGACTAAACCAAAAGGGAGTCATTGATAGCAGTACCTCCCTAATGGCATGCTGAAAGCAAACTTCCAGACACAGGTATTTTCCAATAACCAGATCAGTAATCCAACACAGAGAAAATCTGGGATCCACTGACCCAACAGGTCACCTCTTTGAAGATTGGCAACTGAAACTGCTCACATTTCTCATATTTATTAAGAGCCCTAAAGTCTGTGAAATTGAATATCACCATTCTTCTGGTATACTATCACTGTGGATAAGCTTCAATCCATAGGCCCTTTCACCTCCCAAATGATATAATCAGTTTTCATGCATTGCAGTTCTGCTCAGATCTTGACAACAAGTATAGGAGGTACATCCTATAATTTGGTGTTCAAATCCAACAGCAAAGAGTATGCATAGCCCATGGATGGAACACTGTCATTGTTAAACAAATCATGGTGTCTCTGAAGGATACATTGGGTATCCCCTTCTAATCTAGCTGACATAACCACACCTGAGATATCCTGTGAGAGCTCATGCATGATACCAAATTGTAAGCACAAATCGTAGGACAATAATGGAACAACATTCACAGCATCGTCTTTAACAAGATAAAACTTTGCAGTCAAGGCTATGCCTTTGTAGAGCACAGAACACACAGTTTCACCCACTGTCTGCAAATACAAATTCCAGGCTTTTATAACCACTGTGGTTGGGCAAATGTCCAGATTATGAACTGACCCAAAAGGGAGAATGTTAACTGCAGCACCTGTATCCACCAGGCACCTCAGCAGTGTACCATTAATTTCTATGATATGAGAGATCAGTTCCAGTGCCTTTCCACATGAGAAGATTGTATTAAAGGCAACATTGGAGTCCCTGTATTGTATTCAAGGCAACAAGGTGGTCTCATGTGGCTTCACGTTCCCAATACAGAATCATAGAACCACAGGGTCAGAAAGGATCATCTTGTCTAACCCCGTGCCAAGATGCAGGATCTGTTGTGCCTAAGCCATCCAAGATAGTTGGCTACCCAGCCTTGTTTTGAAAACCTCCAGTGAAAGAGCTTCCATGACTTCCCTAGACAATATGCACTTCAGGCCTCTTCTTGTCATAGAATATTAGGGTTGGAAGAGACCTCAGGAGGTCATCTAGTCCAATCCCCTGCTCAAAGCAGGACCAACACCAACTAAATCATCCCAGCCAAGGCTTTGTCAAGCCAGGCCTTAAAAACCCCTAAGGATGGAGATTCCACCACCTCCCTAGGTAACCCATTCCAGTGCTTCACCACCCTTCTAGTGAAATAGTGTTTCCTAATATCCAAACTAGACCTCCCCCACTGCAACTTGAGACCATTACTTCTTGTTCTGTCATCTGCCACCACTGAGAACAGCCTAGCTCCATCCTCTTTGGAACCTCCTTTCAGGTAGTTGAAGGCTGCTATCAAATCCCCCCTCATTCTTCTCTTCGGCAGACTAAACAACACGAGTTCCCTCAGCCTCTCCTTGTAAGTCATGTGCCCCAGCCCCCAAATCATTTTCGTAGCTCTCCGCTGGACTCTCTCCAATTTCTCCACATCCTTTCTGTAGTGGGAGGAACAAAACTGGATGCAATACTTCAGATGTGGCCTCACCAGTACCGAATAGAGGGGAATAATCACTTCCCTCGATCTGTTGGCAATGCTTCTACTAATACAGCCCAAAATGCCATTGGCCTTCTTGGCAACGAGGGCACCCTGCTGATTCATATCCAGCTTCTCATCCACTGTAATCCCCAGGTCCTTTTCTGCAGAACTGCTGCTTAGCCAGTTGGTCCCAGGCCTGTAGCGGTGCATGGAATTCTTCTTTCCTAAGTTTAGGACTCTGCACTTGTCCTGCACTTGTCATGAACCAGTGTACAATGGCACACTAACTTAAAATGTCCTTTCTCTCTGCAAGCCCAGCACTCAGCAGTTCTAGCCAAGCAGGCAAAAAAATTGGCCAAGTGATCTGTACTACCACACAGACAATCTTCACTGCTGAGGCTGTGGAGCAGGAATATGTAGTGTCGTTTGACTCTGGGTGATGGAAGTACAATGAGCAGCTAATAGTTTAAGCACAGACACAAAGGTAGCAGCAGTCTGAGACACAGAACCTCTTTCAGCCTGAGTCCTCATATGCCTTGCTCTTGGTAACTGCAGAATCAAAAGTTAGGGTTCTAGCATCTTGCACCAGTAACCATTCACCAAGGTGGTCATTGGCTATGCCAACCACAAAAATATCCAAGAGCATGATCATCATAACATCCCCAAAAATCACAGTCCTGGGTCAACCACCATAAATAAATTCACATATGGTTTCATTAGGCTGCTGATGAGCTTCAAAAAATTGTTTTCCTCTTTAACAGAACAGAATCTCCAGTGTCAAAATACTCACTGAGATGCTGCACAGCTGCATCAAAAGAGGACTTGGGCTCCAGGAGTCCATCATAAATATCAATGCGATAACAACCTAAGCAGTTCTGCATCCGGGGTAATCTAGCAGCATGGGAGAGTTGCATGATCTGCACACAGTTCCAGAAATTCTGAATAAAGTATCACCATTCAACAACAGAAGGATGTACAGGCAGCATGGGTTACACAATAGAAGCACTCATTGCCATAATGTTATGCATAGATGCACCCCAGAATGACAATCCCAAAACAGCAAAAAATAAAAAAAATAAAAATGAAGGAAGACTCGCAGGTAAGTTGTCAAACAAAACATGTAATAGCCATGAACCAGTTAAGTCTGAACAAAACATAACAGTCTGAATGGCAGATAACTAGCAGCAGACACTGAGTAGATGCACACACCCAATGTTATACATGCACAAACACAGGAACTGGACCACTGAGTATAGAGAGTAGGAAGCAAGAAGGCAGCACACATACCCACAAACCAGATCATCAATAAAGAACTGGGGGGGGGGGGGGGGGAGGGAGACCGACCAGAGCTGGACACTGCCCCATTATCAGTTTCCTCCTTCAGCCGGGTGTCTCTCCTCTATGTTTCAGAGTAACAGCCGTGTTAGTCTGTATTCGCAAAAGGAAAAAAAGAGTAATTGTGGCACCTTAGAGACTAACCAATTTATTTGAGCATAAGCTTTCGTGAGCTACAGCTCACTTCATCGGATGCATACTGTGGAAACTGCAGAAGACATTATATACACAGAGACCATGAAACAATACCTCCTCCCACCCCACTCTCCTGCTGGTAATAGCTTATCTAAAGTGATCATTCTCCTTACAATGTGTATGATAATCAAGCTGGGCCATTTCCAGCACAAATCCAGGTTTTCTCACCCTCCCCCCCGCCACCCACAAACTCACTCTCCACAGTATGCATCCGATGAAGTGAGCTGTAGCTCACGAAAGCTCATGCTCAAATAAATTGGTTAGTCTCTAAGGTGCCACAAGTACTCCTTTTTCTTTCTCCTCTATGTGACAGAGTTCCTATCCAAGCCAATGTGAATTATTTGAGGGAGAAAGGTTCCATACATAACTGTATCAAATGCTTTTACCAAACTCCAAATCACTATGTCTAGGTACTTATAATCCCTTCATCGCAAGATCCCTTCCCACGCTACTCCCTTCACCTATTCAGTTTGCAATTCCTTCACAACAGCAATCAAGTTGATTTAGCAAATTTTGCTCTTCAGAAATTTCCTGTGTTGTTCTTTACTCATGACTACAGGGAGCAGAGAGGAAGGTTCTTACCTTTCCTGTGTGAGTGGGACATCTGGTTTAATTAGGAGAATTCGGTATCTGTCAGAAACAAACCAAATTTAACAACAAGGGAGAGATAAATCTCTGATGCCCTGAGCTGATCCAGTGTCCCTATTACAGCAAGGATGACTGCAAATCAGTACCCGTCCACTTCCTCCTCCTGCACCACACATACCATACCCACAGTCTTAGGTCCTTTTCACACTTTTTAATCAGGTCGTTTCACTCACTGTTGATCAGAATGGCATTTCCCTCACCCCATTATTGGAATCACTTCCCTACCGATCTTCATCAAACAACATTTCATGATTTTAACAAACCTTTCTGCAAATTCCTCAAAACAGGGTCTCCAGGAAAAGCCGTTTCGCCGAATCCGGATGGTTTCCAGCAATCCATTGTACCTGAGCTGAGGTGAGAGCACAATAAGGTTCAAAAAGAGGTTAACAGATTTTACGGCCAGAAGGGACGATTATGATCGTCTAAGTCTGGCCTCCGGCACAGCATAGGTCAAAGAAGTTCATGCAGATATTCCTGTAACCAGACCAATAACTTCTGGTTGATCTAGAGACATCTGTTGGAAAAGTCATACAGCAAAACAACATTTCCAATAAGTTCTTGGAATGTATTTGGGACAAATTTGTTTCAGAAAGTGGAGAAAATAACCAGGTGGGTCAGCCTTTTTATACTTCATTTTGACCAGCAGGGAGGAACTGACTGTGAATTTGAAGGTGGAACGCAACTGGGGGAAAGTGAACATGAAATCATAGATTTCATGATTTGAAAGAAAGGAAGAAGTGAGAGCAGCTGAATAAGGACAATAGACTTCAAAAAAGCAGACATCAACAAATTCAGAAAAGTGGTAGGGTAAGGTCCATGGGAAGAAAATCTAAGGGATATAGGAGATCAGGAGAGCTGGCATTTTCTCAAGGAGACAATATTAAAGACACAACTGCAAACTATCCCAATGTGAAAAATAGGAAGAATAGGAAGAAACCAAGATGGCTCCATCAGGAGACCTTGAATGAATGACCTAAAAATAAAAAAAGCATCCTACAAAAAGCAGAAACATGGATGAACTGCTAAGGAGGAGAACAAAATAATAGCGTAAGCATATAGGAAAAAATCAGAAAGGCTAAATCACCAAATGAGTTATACCTAGCAAAGGACATCAAATGCAATAAGAAGAGGTTCTTTAAATACATTAGGAACAAGAGAAAGATGAAGGAAAGTGTAGGTCCTCTACTTACCCAGGAAGGAGAGCTAATAAAAATAGGACATCAAGAAGACTGATGCGTTCAATCCCTATATTGCTTCAGTCTTCACTAAACAGGTTAACGGTGACCAGACGCTCCACACAATTAATATTAACAATAAGGGGAAGGATTGCAAGCCAAAACAGGGAAAGAAGAGGCTAATGAATATTTAGACAAGTCAAAGGTAATGAGGTCAGCAAGGCCTGATGAAATTCATCCTAAGGTACTTAAGGAACTAGCAGAAGCAATCTTGGAACATGAGAAATTATCTTCAGGAACTCCTGGAGAATGGCTGAGGTCCAGAGAAGGGCAAACATAGCACCTATCTTTAAAAATGGAAACAGAGAGGACCCAAGGAATTACAGACCAGTTGGCCTAACTTCAATACCTGGAAAGATACTGAAAAAAAGTATTAAACAATTTGTCAGGACGTTGAGTTATAAAAAGGTGTTATAAGGAATAACCAGAATGGATTTTTCAAACACATATCATGCCAAACCAACCTAATTTCCTTCTTTGGCAGGGTTACCAGCCTAGTGGATACAGGGGTAAGCAGTAAACATGATATATAGTACTTTGCACTTGTCTTTATTGAATTTCATCGTGTTTCTTTCAGGCTTATTCTCCAGGTTGTCAAAGTCACTTGGAATTCTAATCCTGTCCTTGAAAGTTCTTGCAACCCCTCCCAGCTTGGTGTCATCCACAAATTTTAGAAGCTTACTCTCCTATTATCCAAGTCATTAATGAAAATATTGACTAGTACCAGACCCAGGACTGACTCCCATGGAACCCCACTTGAGACATCCTCCCAGTTTGATTGAACTATTGATAACCACTCTGAGTGTAGTCTTTCAACCACTTGTGAACCCACCTTATAGTAGTTTTATCTAGACCCATTTCCCTAGGTTTTTTTAGAAGAATATTACATGGGATTATGTCAAAAGCCTTACTAAACTCACCAAAGGCTCTTATGTAAATTAAGTTGTCATGGGATAAGAGGGAAGATCCCTTCATGGATTGAGAACTGGTTAAAAGACAGGGAACAAAGGGTAGGAATAAATGGTAAATTTTCAGAATGGAGAGGGGTAACTAGTGGTGTTCCCAAGGGTCAGTCATAGGACAATCCTATTCAACTTATTCATAAATGATCTGGAGAAAGGGGTAAACAGTGAGGTGGCAAAGTTTGCAGACGATACTAAACTGCTCAAGATAGTTAAGACCAAAGCAGACTGTGAAGAACTTCAAAAAGATCTCACAAAACTAAGTGATTGGGCAACAAAATGGCAAATGAAATTTAATGTGGTGTGACAGGTCAGGCCGGATGGCTACAGGAGAGTGATAGAAGGCAGATATATTAGCCCCAGGTTAAGTAGGTCCCTTTTCCCTGGGTAAGGTAACAGGGACGGTTCCAGAACAATCAGGAATTTTCTGGAAACAATTAAGGTAGACAGGCTGATTAGAACGCCTGCAGCCAATCAAGAAGCTGCTAGAATCAATTAAGGCAGGCTAATCAGGGTACCTGGGTTTAAAAAGGAGCTCACTTCAGTTTGTGATGTGCGTGCGAGGAGCTGGGAGCAAGAGGCTCAAGAAGCTGAGAGTGAGAAGGCATACTACTGGAAGACTGAGAAGTACAAGCATTATCAGACTTCAGGAGGAAGGGCTTGTGGTGAGAATAAAGAAGGTGTTGGGACGAGACCATGGGGAAGCAGCCCAGGGAGTTGTAGCTGTCACGCAGCTGTTACAGGAGTCACTGTAGACAGCTGCAATCCACAGGACCCTGGGCTGGAAACCAGAGTAGAGGGGGGGCCCGGGTTCCCCCCATACCTCCCTACTTGATACTGGAGGAGTTGAACTGGACTGTGAGTTCCACCAAAGGGGAAGGTCTCTGGCCTGTTCCCTGATCCACTAGGTGGATCAGCAGAGACTGCAAGGATTGTTCTTCTTCTTTTCCCCATGCTGGCCAGTGATGAGGCTAACTGAGTGAAGGGCAGGTTTGAGCCACGAAAGTGGTCAAACTGAGGGCTGCCGTGAACCTCTGAGGCGAGGAAATCCGCCAATAAGCGCAGGACCCACCAAGGCAGAGGAGGAACTTTGTCACAGTGGATAAATGTAAAGTAATGCACATTGGAAAAAATAACCCCAACTATACATACAATATGATGGGGGATAATTTAGCTACAACTAATCAGGAAAGAGATCTTGGAGTTATCGTGGATAGTTCTTTGAAGACATCCATGCAGTGTGCAGCGGCAGTCAAAAAAGCAAACAGGATGTTAGGAATCATTAAAAAAGGGATAGAGAATAAAACGGACAATATCTTATTGCCCTTATATAAATCCATGGTGCACTCACATCTTGAATAACTGCATACATATGTGGTCTCCTCATCTCAAAAAAGACATACTGGCATTAGGAAAGATTCAGAGAAGGGCAACTAAAATGATTAGGGGTTTGGAACGGGTCCCATATGAGGAGAGATTAAAGAGACTAGGACTTTTCAGCTTGGAAAAGAGGAGACTAAGGGGTGGACATGATAGAGGTTTATAAAATCATGAGTGGTGCGGAGAAAGTGAATAAAGAAAAGTTATTTACTTGTTCCCATAAGAACTAGGGGCCACCAAATTAAATTAATGGGCAGCAGGTTTAAAACAAATAAAAGGAAGTTCTTCTTCACACAGCACACAGTCAACCTGGGGAACTCCTTGCCTGAGGAGGTTGTGAAGGCTAGGACTATAACAGGGTTTAAAAGAGAACTAGATAAGTTCATGGAGGTTAAGTCCATTAATGGCTATTAGCCAGGATGGGTAAGGAATGGTGTCCCTAGCCTCTGTTTGTCAGAGGGTGGAGATGGATGGCAGGAGAGAGATCACTTGATCGTTACCTGTTAGGTTCACTACCTCTGGGGCACCTGGCATTGGCCACTGTCGGCAGACAGGATACTGGGCTGGATGGACCTTTGGTCTGACGCAGTATGGCCATTCTTATGTTCTTAAAGTGTTAGGGCATTCAGGCTGTATTCAATTTTTTTCTTGATCACCAAATTTTAGTATTAAATGTTATTTTCCCTCTATAAACTCCCCATTTTATTCTGAGTCATTGTTGGCACGTCTGGATGAGCAAATTGATATGGCCCTTGCCCGTGCCGCTTCCCGCAGCCCCCATTGGCTTGGAATGGCGAACAGCGGCCAGTGGGAGCTGCGATCGGCTGAACCTGCAGACGGTGCAGGCAAACAAACCGTCCTGGCCCGCCAGCAGATTTCCCTGACGGGCCGCATGCCAAAGGTTGCTGATCCCTGAGCTAGAGCTAAAAATTCTTCCATGTTTTATGAGATGGTAGCCTCAGGCACTGGTAGAGACACTTCAGTTGAGGAACCCTATATTAATGATGACACCTGGATAGTATATTTTGGCCAGGTCTTTAATGATTCACCCAAACCAGCTTTTTTAAATCTAATTTTACTATAGTTGATGCAATGAGGAATCCTCGGTCTGATTTACCACTCTGGTCTCCAGTAACGGACAGTGAAGTATAGTAATTTATTTTAGTCCAACAACAGAAAAAAGCTTCAGGGGAAGATTTTTCTCCCTGCTGAAATTTTTCAGGAGAATCTTAATTGGTGGTCTTGGCTAAATTATATACAGTTGTTAATCATACTTGATTGATTCCGTCTAACTGGAAGTCCAGTACTGTAGTTCCTATTTTATTTTTTAAAAGGGAATAGAAAGAATCCTGCTTCTTACAGACCTAGTAGTCTGATAGATGTGGCAGGGAAAATTTATTCCAGATTTGTAATGGGCGACAGGGTTGGATCACTTGGTGATTACATGTTCTGTTCATTCCCTCTGGGGCACCTGGCATTGGCCACTGTTGGAAGACAGGATACTGGGCTAGATAGTCCTTTGGTCTGACCCAGTATGGCTGTTCTTGTGGTCTTAAGATAGTAAGGTAATAAGTAACAGTCAGCATGGATTTGTCAAGAACAAATTGTGTCAAACCAACCTAATTGCTTTCCTTGACAGGGTAACAAGCTTTGTGGATGGGGGGGAAAGCAGTAGATGTGGTATATCTTGACTTTAGCCAGGCTTTTGATACTGTTTCGCATGCCCTTCTCATAAACAAACTAGGGAACTATAAGCTAGATGGAGCTACTATAAGATAGGTGCATAACTGGTTGGAAAACTGTTCCCAGAGAGTAGTTATCAGTGGTTCACAGTCAAGCTGGAAATGCACATCAAGTGGGGTCCTGCAGGGATCGGTTCTGGGTCTGGTTATGTTCAATATCTTCATCAATGATGTAATTCAGCAGTGTCCAATATGTTCGCCACTAGCCACATGTGGCTAATAGGCTATTGAATTGTGGCTAATACATGTGGCTTTTTAATAATGTGGCTAATAAGAAAAATTCAAAACCACTGATTTGATTACTACTCTGGACTGAGGAAAAAGCTAAGTATTATCTTTTGGGATGGTGACAAAATTTCTTTTTGAGACAAAAGAGGTAAAAACGAGCATTCTTTCAGCAGCTGGAAAATTCTACAGTCCAAAAGGTACTGAGGTAGGTGTTCCAACTCTCCAGATTTACATGGGGAAAAGATAAGATGTGAAGGAACTTTTCTTTGTTTGCCTTATGGGACAGCAGTTTCTATGGTTTTGAATCTTAACTGAGTATCTGCCTTACATAAATATGGGTTTTATAAAAACATAAGTTGTCTTCAAAGTAGAAAACCAAAAGGCAAACTTAGAATCATGAATCATAGCCAGATCTTCTTCACAGTATCTGTCATTGTCTGTTTGACTAGTTGATTATGTTGATTAAAAGATATCAACACTAAGAGAGAAACCCAACCTATCTATAATAAATTGAAAGGTCTTATACCATGGAAATAAGGAGTACACAGGTTGTTCCTCCAGCTCCTGAAGGCAAAGACAGGGCCATCTATAATCTGGAAGAGCACAGATCTTAGACCAAAATTTAAGAAAAGCAGTACAGGCTCTACTACTTAAGAAAGAACACCCACCTCAGCATATAAAAAGTGAAAGTCTCCTCAGAAAATTATTTTGAACAATCCCTAAGGCCGAAATATGGCCCTATGCCAAACTCTGGCCCCATATGGTGACAGGTTTCAGAGTGGTAGCCGTGTTAGTCTGTATCAGCAAAAACAACGAGGAGTCCTTGTGGCACCTTAGAGACTAACAAATTTATTTGTGCATAAGCTTTTGTGGGCTAGAACCCACTTCATCAGATGCATGGAGTGGAAAATACAGGAGCAGGTATAAATACACAGCACATGAAAAGATGGAGTTGCCTTACCAAGTAGGAGGTCAGTCTAACAAGACAATTCAATTAACAGTGGGATACCAAGGGAGGAAAAATCACTTTTGTAGTGGTAATGAGCATGGCCCATTTCAAACAGTTGACAAGAAGGTGTAAGTAACAGTAGGGGGAAATTAGTATGGGGGAAATTAGGTTTTGTAATGACCCAACAACTCCCAGTCTTTATTCAGGCCTAATTTGATGGTGTCCAGTTTGCAAATTAATTCCAGTTCTGCAGTTTCACGTTGGAGTCTTTTTGAAGTTTTTTTGTTGAAGATTTGCCACTTTTAGGTCTGTTATTGAGTGTCCAGGGAGATTGAAGTGCTCTCCGACTGGTTTTTGAATGTTATAATTCCTGATGTCAGATTTGTGTCCATTTATTCTTTTGCGTAGAGACTGTTCGGTTTGGCCAATGTACAGGGCAGAGAGGCATTGCTGGCACATAATGGCATATATATATCACATAGGTAGACGTGCAGGTGAATGAGCCCCTGATGGTGTGGCTGATGTGGTTAGGTCCTATGATGGTGTCCCTTGAATAGTCCCTTGGTAAGGCATCTCCATCTTTTCATGTGCTGTGTATTTATACCTGCTACTGTATTTTCCACTCCACGCAGCTGATGAAGTGGGTTCTAACCCACTAAAGCTTATGCCCAAATAAATTTGTTAGTGTCTAAGGTGCCATAAGGACTCCTCATTGTTTTTGGCCCCATAGAACATGTGTGATCTTATTTTAGCCTTAAAAGTCTTAGTTCTGGGCGACTCTGTTCTCATCATATGAGCAGGTAAAACAGAGCACCCCTTGAGCAGAGCTAAGGGCCATTTTGTTTTATAGAATCGTAGGACTGGAAGGGACCTCGGGAGGTCATCTAGTCCGGTCCCCTGCACTCATGGGAGGACCAAGCATTATCTAGACCATCCCTGACAGGTGTCTGTCCAACCTATTCTTAAAAACCTCCAATGATGGAGCTTCCACCACCTCAGTAGGCAATTTATTCCAGTGTTTAATCACCCTGACTGTTAGGAAGTTTTCCCTAATGTGAAACCTAAACCGCCCATACTGCAATTTAAGCTCATTGCTTCTTGTCTTATCCTCAGAGGTTAATGAGAAAAATTTTTCTCCCTCCACCTTGTAACAACCTTTTATGTGCTTGAAAACTGTTATCGTTTCCTCCCTCAGTCTTCTCTTCTCCAGACTAAACAAACCCAATATTTTCAATCTTCCTTCATAGGTCATGTTTTCTAGACCTTTCATCATTTTTGTTGCTCTTCTCTGGACTTTCTCCAAATTTGTCCACATCTTTCCTGAAATGTGGTGCCCAGAACTGGACACAAGACTCCAGCTGAGGCCTAATCAGCGTGGAGTAGAGCGGAAGAATTACTTCTTGTGTCTTACTTACATCACTCCTGCTAAGACATCCCAGAATGAGGTTTGCTTTTTTTGCAAGTGTTCCACTGTTGACTCATTTAGCCTGTGATCCACTATGACCCCCAGATCCCTTTCTGCAGAACTCCTTCCTAGACAGTCATTTCCCATTTTGTATGTGTGCATCTGATTGTTCCTTCCTAAGTGGAGTACTTTGCATTTGTCCTTTTTGAATTTCATCCTATTTACTTCAGACCATTTCTCCAGTTTGTCCAGATCATTTTGAATTTTCATCCTATCCTCCAAAGCACTTGCAAACCCTCCCAGCTTGGTATCATCCACAAACTTTATAAGTGTACTCTGTATGCTATTATCTAACTCACTGATGAAGATATTGAACAGAACCGAACCCAGAACTGATCCCTGTGGGACCCCACTCGTTATGCCCTTTCAGCATGACTGTGAACCACTGATAACTACACTCTGGGAATGATTTTCCAACCAGTTATTCACCCACCTTATAGTAGCTCCATCTAGATTGCAATTCCCTAGTTTGTTTATGAGAAAGTCATGCGAGACAGTATCAAAACCCTTACTAAAGTCAAGATATACCATATCTATCGCTTCCCCCCATCCACAAAGCTTGTTACCCTGTCAAAGAAAGCTATCAGGTTGGTTTGACACGATTTGTTCTTGACAAATCCATGCTGTTACTTATCACCTTATTATTTCTAGATGTTTGCAAATTGATTACTTAATTAATTTGCTCCATTATCTTTCCGGGTACAGAAGTTAAGCTGACTGGTCTTTAATTCCCTGGGTTGTTCTTATTTCCCTTTTTATAGATGGGCACTAGATTTGCCCTTTTCCAGTCTTCTGGAATGTCTCCTGTCTTCCATGACTTTTCAAAGATAATTGCTAATGGCTCAGATATCTCCTCAGTCAGCTCTTTGAGTATTCTAGGATGCATTTCATCAGGCCCTGGTGATTTGAAGACATATAACTTGTCTAAGTAATTTTTGACTTGTTCTTTCCCTATTTTAGACTCTGATCCTTCCTCATTTTCACTGGCATTCACTATGTTAAACGTCAAACGGCCACCAACCTTCTTGGTGAAAACCGAAACAAAGAAGTCATTAAGCATCTCTGCCATTTCCACATTTTCTGTTATTGTCTTTCCCCCCTCATTGAGTAACGGGCCTACTCTGTCCTTGGTCTTCCTCTTGCTTCTAATATATTTGTAGAATGTTTTCTTGTTTCCTTTTATGTCCCTAGCTAGTTTGATCTCGTTTTGTGCCTTGGCTTTTCTAATTTTGTCCCTACATACTTGTGTTATTTGTTTATATTCATCCTTTGTAATGTGACAGATTTTCTACTTTTTGTAGGACTCTTTTTTGTGTTTTAGATAATTGAAGATCTCCTGGTTAAGCCAGAGTGGTCTCTTGCCATACTTCCTATCTTTCCTATGCAGTGGGATAGTTTGTTCTTGTGCCCTTAATGTCTCTTTGAAAAACTGCCAACTGTCTTCCATTGTTTTTCCCCTTAGACTTGCTTCCCATGGGATTTTACTGACCCGAAAGACAGTTCTCCTCAGAAGAGAGCTATCACCTCAGTCGGGAAAGTACCATCTGAGGTTGGGATCTTGAATCCCAGCAACAGCATGCAGCCAACTGTGCATCTTACTAGGGGGCTGGGAGTGGGATCTCTAGTGCTAGTGCCCTGGGAGGCAGATCCTGCTGTAATTAGGAAAAGTGGTAGAGGGAGGGCTGGAGTATGAATTTTGGTGCCAGAGTCCTGGAGTGTGAAGAAGAACCCTAAACACTCAGAGTTTAAGTGGAGAAAGAGCTATGCCTTCTCTGCTCCCTGCCCCCGTCATTGCCCCTCCTGCTGAAAGAATAAGCTTTCAGTATTCATTCAAGCCATTCAGTCTTCAAACCCCACCCTCACAATGGGGTTTGTCCTGCACAGTCCCAGCTGTATCCAGCCCCCTGCTCTGTCACAGGTCTGGTTCCTAACAGGACCTGGTTGAAGGGATGCTGAGCCCCTCACTCACCTGCTCCAGCACCACTTGGCTGTCAACCACGCCCGGCTCCTTCTGGCTGTTCGGTTTGATGCAGCGCACAAAGTGTGGGTTAGCAGAGTACATTCGCTCCATCAGCACGGATAGTGAATGCTAGCAGGAGGCGGTGACACAGGTCAGCAAATGCCAAATAATTTCCTGATTTTTGGCTCATTACAACAATCTGTAACCCACTCACCCTCCTTTGTTCTAGGACTATAGAGGTGTCAACTGGCCACTTCATTCTGAATGGCCTTTTGCAACATGTGAACTCCTTATCTGTACCAACTTGTAGTTAGCTGTGACACTCTGAGTACATTGCTTCTGTGTCAGCTTGAAACTGAAAGCTTGCTTCTTTCGCCAACAAATACTAATATCAATAACATTACCTCAACCATGGGTGGCTGGCATCATAGGCATGGGAAGACTGTACCTTCACAAAAAGCCTGACACGTCCCTGCCCATGCTCCACCTCCAGGACCAGGGCCAGATTAACCTTTGTGGGCCATGTGCCAAACATATTTGTGGGGCCCCATGGGGGCAAAGGAGCATGGCGTGGGGAGGTCGGTCCCCAGAGTGAGAGGCTAGTCAGGGGCAATGGGGCATAGCATGGTGGGGCTGGCCCTGCTCCACCCAGCCCAGTGCAAGTGCACTGTATACAAACCGGAAGTTGCCAGATGCACACTGGCCCGCCCAGCCCTGTGCTGCCAGCGTGGCCCTTCCCCTCAGGGGTGGGCCCATGCCACGCCACACAGTCTCCGACTCCCTATGCCCAGCGTCCCCCGGAACTGCTATGCCCAGCGGCCCCCCACATAGACCCTCCATCACAAATGCACAGCGGCCTGCACACTACCACCCCTGCCCAGCACCCCCCACACACAGCCGCACCACTGCTGCCCAATGCACTTCCCCATAGCCCACCACTACAACTACACAGCCCCCCACTCAGACCCCACACTGCCCAGCATCCCAACACACAGACCTCCCCCACCGTCCCCCCAATGGGCCCTCCACTGGCCAGCAGTCCCCGCCCCCCCGACACCTCCAGAGACCCACTCCTTCACACCCTGCCCCCTGGCCACACTCACCGGCCCTGCTGGAAGGTGGCGGCATCTGCCAGGCTGAGCTGGCAGCGCATCCGGGCCGGTTCAGTGCCAGGCTGGGGAAATCACTCCAGCCTCTCAGGAGTGGCGCGATAAGCCAGGCCAGGGTCTGCCCCTGCCCTGGCCAGACTCCCTCAGGACCCACTTGTCTGGAGATAGGGTGACCATACATCCCCATTTGGCAGGGACAGTTCCCTTTTTAAGCTCTGTCCTGGCCTTCTTGTCTTTTTTGACAAAAATGGACATTTATCCCATTTGCTCTCGCCAACTAATTAGTTGGCGAGAGCAATGAACAAATGCCCAGTTTACAAAAAAAGTCCGGTGCCCCCCCCAGCAGGGCGTGGAGGAACATGCATGTGGGGGGTGGCGACGTGTGGTGTCAGGGGGTCAACCCCAGCCCCAACCCCAGCCAGAATGGAGCTTGTGGGGGTTAGGGGCCAGCCCCAGCCCCCAGCAGCAGTGCGGAGAGGGTGTCAGCTCCAGCTCCTGTCACTTGTGCAGGGAGCTGGGGCGAGGGAGGGGTCAGCCCCTGTCCTGGCAATGGCATGCAGAGCTTGAGGAGTGGGGAGTCAGCCCCTGGCTGCGGCGTAGGGAGCTGTGCGGGAAAGGTCAGCCCCAGTGGCGGATTTAGAGTTAGTGGAGCCCTGTGCTCAGCTTCATTTTTGGGGCCCCTTCTTGGGACCCAGCCAAGAAAAAGAACATTTGCTCTTATCCCCCCCCCACCCTCGTTTTTCATTCTTTTTTTCTTCATCCTCCTCCTATAAGTAATAGCAAGTAAATGAAAATGAAGTGAGGTACCTTGATTGTTCTCGTCATCTAACTCATTTTTCCAAAGACCACTTGAAAATCGTTGGGGGTCTCGGCAAACCACAATGATCTTTCCAAATATTGTTTGTACTGTTAGCTAACTATTGTAAAGCTCTTTGGATAAGAATGCTTTATAAAAAAATGTCGGGGTGCGGGGTCTGGCCAGGACTTAGGGTGCGGGAGGGGGCTCAGGGCTGGGGGTGCAGGGTCTGGGAGGGAGTTAGGGTGAGGGAGGGGGCTCAGGGTTGGGGTGTGGAGTGCTGACCTGGGGCAGCTCCCATTTGGTGCGAGGGGTGCAGGTGGGGATGTGGGGAGGGGTGTGGGAGTCAGGGTGGGGAGGGGGCTGGGGGTGTGAGAGAGGGGTGCAGGAGTCAAGGCTGGGGATGCAGGGTCTGGGAGGGAATTAGGGTGCAGGAGCGGGCTGGGGTGCAGGGTCTGGCCAGGAGTTAGGATGCAGGAGGGGGCTCAGGGTTGGGGCAGGAGGTTGGGATGAGAAGCGCTTACCTGGGGCAGCTCCTGTTTGGTGCGACGGGTGCAGGTGGGAAAGTGTGTGTGGGGGGGTGTTGCAGGAGCTCCTGTTTGGGGCTCAGGGTGGGGATGGGGATGTGGGGGGGGGTGCAGGAGTGAGGGCATTGGGGGCTGGGTATATGGGGGGTGCAGGAGTCAGGGCACGGGGCTAGGGAAGTGTGAAGGGGTGTAGGAGTCAGGGCAGGGGGCTGAGGGTGTTGGTTGGGGTCGTGGGGGTTTTCCCAGCCCCCTGCTCTGAGCAGCTCATGGCAGGGGGCTAGAGGGGGTATGTGTCGGGGGAGTGCAGGGCCCCACCTTTGCTCAGCCCTGCCCCAATTCCACCCCCTTCCCAAGGCCCTGCCCCTGCCTCTTCTCCGCCTCCTCCCCCGAATGCGCTGCAACCCCACTTCTCCCCCTCCCTCCAGGAGCGCCGGCAAACAGCTGTTCGGTGGCAGGGGAAATGCTGGAAGTGGGAGGGGTGGGAACACGGCACGCTTGGGAGAAGAGGCGGGGAGGGGGGAGCTTGGCTGCCGGTGGGTGGGGCGGAGCCTGCCCTGCAACATGAGCCCCAGCAGCCGGCAGGACCAAGCTTCTGCCCCCCGCAGGGGAGCATGGTGGGCAGAGAAGAGCTGGTGGGGCCTTGCAGCCCAAGCAGTGTGGGCTTGGCCGGGGCCACTTTGGAGCCTGGGCCCGGGGCCATGGTAAACCCAGTACTGCCCAGGCCCCATCCTGCCTGCTGTAAGGCTGTTCCCTTTGTGCTGGGGCCGCTGGGACCAGGGCTGCTCCGGCCACACCGCCCACCCGCCCAGTGCTCACAGCTCGGCTGGGGGGCGCCTTCAGGGGAGGGGATGCCGGTCAGCTGGGTGTTGGGCTGGTTGGTGTGGCCAAGGCATGCTAACCATGGGGGTCAGGCTGGGTGGCATGGCCCGGGGAGGCTGGTGCCACGCGGCCCAGCTCTTTGGTGCTCTGGGGGCGCTAGCCTGGGGCAGGAGCTAGCAGCCTGTGTGTGTGTGGCGGGGAGGTGGTGCTGGGCAGGGGCCAGCGGCCATAGTGGGGGCTGGGCTCCGGTGGGTGTGGAAGGGGGCAGGGCCTTGGGCAGAAGGGGCAGGGCTGGGGGCTAGTCTCCCCAAGCCCAGGGTTTTCCCACCACCCATGATCTCATCCACCTTTTCTCGCTAATATCCTGGGACCAACACAGCTACAACAACACTGCAAACGAAGAATAACCAGACCCTCCTGGATCCATGGTCCTGTTGGTGAAAACTCCATCAGCAGTGCCAGCCAGGGCTCTGGCAGTGGGAGCTCCCTCTCAGCAGCACAAGCCAAGATTTTCCCCTCACTACAGCCTGCACTTATAGCTCAGAAAAGTCCTTTCTCCATGTGCCAGGAGCTCTATTGACTATGTTCGGGTTCCTGGGGACCATTTCGGCATTTCCTTGCATGTTACTAAATAAGCATAGCAAAACAACAGTACTTTACCCGGAATTGAGCACCCACTGATTGCTTCCGTGTGTTGTTGAAGTTATTGTCTGTTCCTGGCAAGACCTGAAACCAGACCTAAACATGTATATCACATACTCCAACATCATTCCCCTGAGCTCCCAGCCCGGAGCCCTGTCTCTATCTGAAGATCAAGCCCATAGGGTGCTGGGAAAAGGACAAGAGAATGGATTTCAAAGGAGGAAAAGGTGAGTATGCATGTGCGAGGGAGACAAGAGGGAAAGCCCACTACCACAAAAGGAAGAAGAGCTATAGGAGCAGAGACAGATTCCAACGTGCAGGGCTGCCTGTCCTCATTCTCTCCCCCACCTTAATTGTAGACATCCCAGATGGGACAATCATGCCACCAGGACCCAGTTATTGGTTGTCCTGGGGACCCCATGGTTCTTACCTTGGCTTTAATGTGAGGCATCAAAGTCCCTGTTCTGGAGACTGTGGCTGGATAAAGAAAAAGGTAACACTGAGTTCTGCAGCCCCATCCCTCAAACCAGGTGAAACCATCAGCAGACACGGAAACCTCCCCACAGGTGCAGAAAGCTTGTCCTGGTAAACCCTCTTCCCCAGAAAAAAGTTTAAGCTTCACATGCTGAATACAAATGAACGAAACCCTGGTAAAACAATGAGCTTAAGAGCAGGAAAGGAACACTTGGAAAACGTGCAGGTACATAAAACAGATCTAGGAAGTAGCATCTGGGGCACTGAGGGAAATTGCTTATCAATTTACTGAACAACCGGCCACCATCTTTGAAAGAGTCAGGGACAACTGGGGAGGTGTGAGAAGAAAGGAGAAAAGCAGAAATAGTGCCAATTTAAAAAAAAAAAAAGTAAGAAGAGGGATCCTGACAATTACTACTACCCTGCAACTTTTATCCCTATCAGAATAATGGGAATGTTAACAGTATAAACAAAAACAAAAAACCCCTGAACCCACACAACACTGAATATCACGAAGACAACTCAACTATGAGCAACAGTCAGCATGGGAGGCTTATAAAGAGTCATACCAGGTAAGTTATTTAAATAATTTCAGGATGAGGTTAAAAACAGATAAAATAGCATTGAATTTAGTGAAGGATGTGATACAGTCTCGCACAACATGGATACAACATTGGCACCTGAACTGAAGACTGGCCGAAAGACCATAAACACAGGACAAAGATAAACAACATAGAAATGAGCTGGGGGGATGAGGTTCAGTCTTATTTCACATTTTCATTAACAATTTGGAAGAGGTAAGCAAACAAGATGTTAATGACATTTGCCCATAGAGCTACACTGGAAAGAGTTGGAAATCCCATCAAGGACAGAAAAATGCTGAGACCCAGGTTATTTATTTAATTTGCTAAATGCCAACAGGTAGCTGGAGGAGCTGAACAAGACATAAAATATAAAGTGAGCACTGTACACTTTGTATTGTGTTGTAATTGAAATAGATATTTGCAAATGTAGAAAAACACCAAAAATATTTAATAAATTTTGGTTGGTATTCTATTGTTTAACTGCGATTAATTGAGATTAATGTTTTATCACAATTAATTTTTTTGAGTTAATTGCGTGAGTTAACTGCGATTAATTGGCAGCCCTATATAATATACATATTGTGTGTGTGTGTGCACGCAAGCACGCGCATGCATGTTGGAAAGTCCCTGCAATTCCGTTCACCCATGTCAAATATCCCACAGCACTTTGCAAAGTTGAAGTGATCTTTGGCATTAGAAAATAGGAAGTCTGTCGAAGCCAAAATACATGAACAGCATATCCTAGCGCAAGTTGGGGTGTACCTCCTATGCCCAACTGGTTCGGAATTTAGCATGCAAAACAGAGATGAGAAAAGTACAGAACAAAACAAGTTAAAGAACTGTTACAAACTGGTGGGCTGGATGTTCATAACACGTAAATAGTTTTCTAACTTGTAACTATAAATACTACTAGCTGAAATGCATATATATGAAGCACACCTTCTGTATAAGGTGAACATACTGAAAGAATTTGCTTCCCAAAAGGAGGATTGTTTTGTGACTATTGGGCCTACAAAATGTACCTCAATTGTAAGCTCAAAACTAAGAAATGAGTGAAAGTTCCTAAAATGTTACGATAACCATAAAAAATAGGTCAAATTGTTTACAACACTGAATGTAGAAACAAGTGGCAGAGAACCAAAGAAGCTGGATTAGTCTAACCCAAAAAGGCCATGTTGATATAATCCAAGGACTGTTGAAACTATGCTTGGAGAAACGGAAGGCGTGGAACCAGAAATTAATAGATCAAAACTGGTGTTATGGATAGTATGCCTAATTGGTGAACAAAATAATGAGGGGGATAAACTATGCAACCCTTGGGCTTCTTAAATAAACTTTTGGGAAAAAATCTTCAATTCAGCTCTCCTTCTCTTCTCTCGTCGCCCTTTGCATCATAGTCCTGGTCTACACTACGAGTTTAGGTCGAATTTAGCAGTGTCAGATCGATTTAACCCTGCACCCGTCCACATGACAAAGCCATTTTTGCCGACTTAAAGGGCTCTTGCAATCGATTTCTGTACTCCTCCCCGACGAGGGGATTAGCGCTGAAATCAACATCGCCAGGTCGAATTTGGGGTAGTGTGGATGCAATTCGACGGTATTGGGCTCCGGGAGCTATCCTAGAATGCTCCTTTGTGACCGCTCTGGCAGCACTTTCAACTCAGATGCACTAGCCAGGTACACAGGACAAGCACCGGGAGCTTTTGAATTTCATTTCCTGTTTGGCCAGCATGGCGAGGTCATCAGCGGAGGTGACCATGCAGAGCTCATCAGCACAGGTGACCATGCAGTTCCAGAATCGCAAAAGAGCTCCAGCATGGACCAAATGGAAGATACTGGATCTGATCGCTGTATGGGGAGACGAATTCATGCTTTCAGAACTCCGTTCCAAAAGATGAAATGCCAAAATATTTGAAAAAAATCTCCAAGGGCATGAAGGACAGAGGCTATAACAAGGACCCGCAGCAGTACTGTGTGAAACTTAAGGAGCTCAGCCAAGCCTACCAAAAATCCAAAGAAACAAACGGCCGCTCCGGGTCAGACCCACAGATATGCCGCTTCTGATTGCAGGCAATTCTAGGTGGTTCCCCTACCACTACCCCACCCCTGTACGTGGGCTTCCGCAAGGGGGGAGTCTCACACAACAGGGATGAGGATTTTGGGGACGAGGAAGATGAAGATGAAAAGGAGGATGAAACCGTCCTTCCCGACAGCCAGCAACTATTTATCACCCTGGAGCCAATACCCTTCCAACCTTCCCAAGGTGGGCTCCCGGACCTTGAAGGTGGAGAAGGCACCTCTAGTGAGTGTAGCTTTGTAAATATAATACATGGTTTAAAAGCAAGCATATTTAATGATTAATTTGCCCTGAAGACTTGGGATGCATTTGTGGCCAGTACAACTACTGGAAAAGTCTGTTAACGTGTCTGTGGCTGCAGCGGAAATCCTCCAGGGACATCTCAATGAAGCTCTCCTGGAGGTACTCCCAAAGCCTTTGCAAAAGGTTTCTGGGGAGGGCAGCCTTATTGCGTCCTCCATGGTAGGACACTTTACGACGCCAGGCCAGTAGCACATAGTCTGGAATCATTGCAAAACAAAGCATGGCAGCGTATGGTCCCGGTGTTTGCTGGCATTCAAGCAACATCCATTCTTTATCTCTCTGTGTTATCCTCAGGAGAGTGATATCATACATGGTCACCTGGTTGAAATAGGGGAATTTTATTAAGGGGACATTCAGAGGTGGCCATTCCTGCTGGGCTGTTTGCCTGTGGCTGAAAAGAAATCATCCCCGCTGTTAGCCACGGGGTGTAGGGAGGGGTGAAGCGATCATCCCAGAGATTTGGGGGATGGGGGGAATGACCTTTGTACCGAAAGCACATGTGCAATATAATATTAACAGCTTGGTTCACCGTGAAAGAATCTACCTATTGTTCTCTAAAATGTGTCTTTTTAAATACTACTCTCCCTTTTTTCCTCCCGCAACTGCAAATGTTTCAACGTTGCGACTAGCATCTCCGTCTCAGAGGCTAGCGCAGATAAGAAGGCGAATAAAACCGCACTCATGATTAAATGTTTTCTGAGCTCATGCAGTCCTCCCGCACTGAAAGGGCTCAGCAGAATGTGTGGAGGCAAGCAATGTCAGAGTCCAGAAAAGCACAAAATGAACGCGAGGGCAGGAGGGACGCGCGAGAGGAGAGGTGGTGGGAGCAGAGGAGAGGTGGCGGGATCAAGATGATAGGCGGTGGCAGTGTGATGAAAGGAGGCAGGCTGCAATGTTGAGGCTACTGGAAGATCAAACTGATATGCTCTAGGGTACGGTTGAGCTGTAGGAAAGGCAGCAGGAGCACAGACTGCCACTGCAGCCCCTGTATAACCAACCACCCTCCTCCCCAAGTTCCATAGCCTCCTCACCCAGACGCCCAAGAACGTGGGGGAAAGAGGTGTACTCCGGGCACCCAACCACTCCACCCCAGAGGACTTCCCAAGCAACAGAAGGCTGGCATTCAATAAGTTTTGAAGTGCAGTGTGGCCTTGTCCTTCCCTCCTCCCCCACCCCTCCCGGGCTACCTTGGCAGTTATCCCCCTAATTGTGTGACGAATTAATAAAGAATGCATGAATTTGAAACAACAATGACTTTACTGCCTCTGCAAATGGTGATCGAAGGGGGGAGGTCGGTTGGCTTACAGGGAAGTAGAGCGAACCAAGGGGGCAGGTTTTCATCAAGGAGAAACAAACACAACTGTCACGCCATAGCCTGGCCAGTCATGGAACTGGTTTTCAAAGCTTGTCTGATGTGCAGCGCGCCCTGCTGTCCTCTTCTAACCACACTGGTGTCTGGCTGCGCGTGATCAGTGGCCAGGCAATTTACCTCAACCTCCCACCCCACCATAAACGTCTCCCGCTTACTCTCACAGATATTGCGGAGCACACAGGAAGAAGTAATAACAATGGGAATATTGGTTTCAGTGAGGTCTACCTGAGTCAGTAAACTGCGCCAGCGCACTTTTAAACATCCAAATGCAAATTCTACCACCATTCCATTTGAGCATAAGCTTTCATGAGCTATAGCTCACTTCATTGGATGCATTCAGTGGAAAATACAGTGGGGAGATTTATATACATAGAGAACATGAAACAATGGGTGTTACCATAGTGATCACTCTGATTACAGTATGTATGGTAACACCCATTGTTTCATGTTCTCTATGTATATAAATCTCCCCACTGTATTTTCCACTGAATGCATCCAATGAAGTGAGCTGTAGCTCACAAAAGCTTATGCTCAAATAAATTTGTTAGTCTCTAAGGTGCCACAAGTACTCCTTTTCTTTTTGCGAATACAGACTAACATGGCTGCTACTCTGAAACCTACCACCATTCTGCACTTGCTCAGCCTATAGTTGAACAGCTCCTGACTA